AAGGATTAATTTGTCAAAACAATACCCCTAGCGAGAAAAAATCTAATTACTTGCCTCATAAAAATTTTTATTTCCACCTTCTTAGTAAATAACATTTTATAGGTTAATTTTGTTGTTTTTGTATCCAAGTAAACGATACATTATGGGAACAGACCTGTAATATTTTACAGGCCTGCATATAAGACCTGTAAAGTTTTACAGGCTTGTAGAAAAGCAGTTTATGAAATGAAATGTCACTTTTGACAAATTAATTAAAATTTTAAATTTGAAAATCGTTATCTAAAGGTGAAAATAAAAGTTTGTACTTGTCACGCTTTGCAATTCATCTTTACTAGGCTCACTGGATTATGGGGTTTGCTCCTGCGTCGCTCACCCCACAAAGTTCCAGCTCGCCTGTAAAGATTCATTTACAAAGCTTGACACGTAAATAACTATTATCGGCCTAGGCCATAACAAGTTATTTCTTTATCGAATGTTGACAACAATAAAGTTTAAATTATAGACCGCTTGGAGATAAAAAATATTATTGTCGATTTGACAGTGTCAAAGTATTTAATTAAATTCTTTAGCAGAAGTACCATTTTTAAATACTAAAAATACTAAGTCAAACTGGCATAAGCCACCAACCTAACAAAAAACACGAGTCTAGATAAAAAAAAATAAACTGTACCTTTCAAATCTTTTTAGCACAAGTTGTAAGTTTTGTAAAAGCTATAAGACAATCCCATGTTCTCTTAGAATCTTTTTAAAGAAAAGAAAACGAAAGAAAAACGACTTTCTTTAAAACTGCCTTGAAAGTCTTTATTGAAATAAACAGCAATTACATCCTTGGCAAGAAATGAAGGCTTCCTAGACATAATTAAAAAATGCCCGAATTTTAAAAAGAATGCTCTGGGCGACACTATTTGGGATATCATTATTAAAACCTGTTATTAATGCCATCACCATTTGTAAATCAGATAAAATTAAAATTTCGTTAGTTTTTAGAATATTCAATGACCTTAAACAACATTTTGCCAAAACTCTACCAAGCTGCCCCGTTCTAAAAAAAGACAAAGAAAGCTAAAAAAATATAGTAGATAGAAAAGAATTTGCAACACGTAATGTACATAAAATTTGCTAAAATCTTAGTCCTGAAGAACAAGCAAGCATTTCATATTTGTGTCTTTTTTGTTTTTATAACAAAAAGTATTGAAATATATAAAACGGAACATTAGGGTGAGCCAAAAAAACTAACCTATCGGATTTATGGGTTAAAATGAACCTACATACCAAGCAAAAAATTTCCCTGCAAGGCAAAATTTTTTGCTCAATTTTAAAAGGTGTCGGTGAGCATTCTAAGTTTTCCATTGAAATAACACGTAAAAAATTATTTTTTCATTAAAAAGACTATAACTTTTGAACCGTTTGAGATAAAATTTTTTACGTCGAGGATTCTTGTAGAGCATAAAATTTCCCAAAGAATCTATACCAGGATTATTTTTTTTAATTCAAAAATTTTTATGTTTGAAAGCTTGGCTCTTGACACTCGAAGCGGTCGGATGCGTCGAGCTAGATTCCTCCTAAGTAGCGTATACGATACAAACGTAAAGTACCAAAAACGAAACAAAGTATCCGGAAACATCGGTAATTGTTAATAAATAAATAAATAAATAAACAAACAAGTGCAAGAAGTGCAACAAGGGTGAAAATTGCGAGATAACGCCGTAAAAGTGTGCAAGTGAACAAGTAATTAAGGCTATGCCACAACGATAAGTCAACCGGCACACCTGGATCAGAGCGTCTCAAAACCTGCAGGAGAAGGAACAAAGGACACCCCGCGAAAGACAAAGCATCAGGATTATAGCCTAATAATCAAGCTAAGTAATTTTTCTAATTGCATGTTTTACCGTATAATCGTTAAATGTTTATATAAGCATTTCACAATGTTGCCAAAAAATCTAAGAATTCTTTTTATCTGTCATAAAAATTAATTAAAAAAAAAAGTAAGAACATTTCCGTAATTGTTAAATAAACAACCTCATTTTCTCATAGTAGACAAATCATAAACAACCATTGAAAAAGGCGTAAGAGTAAATAAACTAAATCAAGCAAGAAGACAAAATTCATCATAAAAAATTGTTGTGTTTGAATAAGAAATATTGTATATGCATTTAGGGTCACAGCCATAAATCAAACCCAAAGATGATAAGAACTCAATAGCCAATAACGTAAATAAACCATCTATTATAGCATACGTTACACGCCTAACTAAGACCGTACTTCAAAAATTAATACGATACACCACAGGGCCGGCTCTATCTATTTCGTGAATTAATTTACTTTTAGGTTAGTTTTGGAATAAAGTAAGAATGCAAAGATACAAAATAAATAATAATAAACGGTATAATCACTAATTTAACAACAAAATAAATAGTTCACCAACAAGGGCAGCGTACTGACACCCCGGCTCAAAATAGAAGAACAGCACAGAAGAAAAGAAGAATGATCCTATCAATAGTCAATGCAGACCATTTGGTGGCATTCCACCACAAACACTACAGGGCCGGTTTTATTTATTTTGTATATTAATATTTATATTTTTAAATTAAATTTGAAAAAAAAAAGTAAGAATGCAAAGACATAAATTAAACGAAAACGGTATAAACACTAATTTAGCAATAAATTAAATAAAGAATATACAAGGTTGGTAGCCGGAGTAAGCAAAAAACTAACATACCCACCCCCATTCATGAATACCAATTGAATGGGGATACTACTAAGGCCTAGGTTTAGGGGGATTCCGGATTGTACTTAGTTTTGGGTCAGTTCAATGTCCTCCAAAAACCCTTCCTAAACTGGACGTATGGCCCGACCCGGCTGACAAAAATCCCGGGAGCGGCCTTAACCTTTGACACTGTCATCCACGAACTCCTAGGGTGAATCTACCAGCCGGCGTAAAAACTTCGGATCCAACAAACACAGGTAATGCTGTGATTTGGCGGGATACGCAGGAAAACGGAAAGGGGGTAAAATAACCCCGGGAGATCATATATCTGGGGCCTGCCATACGTTCCCATACTCATACTCAAATTTTTATGTTTGAAAGCTTTGAAAAGTGTAAAAAATCACTTTTTACACTTTTCAAAGCTTTCAAACATAAAAATTTTTGAATTAAAAAAAATAATCCTGGTATAGATTCTTTGGGAAATTTTATGCTCTACAAGAATCCGCGACGTAAAAAATTTTATCTCAAACGGTTCAAAAGTTATAGTGTTTTTAATGAAAAAAGATTTTTTTACGTGTTATTCCAATGGAAAACTTAAAATGATCACCAACACCTTTTAAAATTGAGCAAAAAATTTTGCCTTGCAGGGAAATTTTTTGCTCGGTATGTAGGTTCATTTTAACCCATAAATCCGATAGGTTAGTTTTTTTGGCTCACCCTACAGAACATGACATTGGTATTTTTATTTTGGTATAATTTAGTAGATAGTAATTAACGTAAATTTTTCATTCTTTCATTCTCATTCTTTTCATTTCATTAATTTTTTCATTTTAACTTGTTTATCTTTTTAATACAGAAAATAACTGGTACTATAAATTTAATGAATTAGCAATTAAAATATGTATTTTTGTTTTATAGTATAATCTAGTTTATAAACTTGTGTTTTTAACATTTCAGACTGAAGCAGACTTATGAAACAGACAAAAAAGTACCAGATTTGGATGAAAAGCTGGTGTTAACTGATCTTGCGAATTTTCAGGCAAAGGATGAGTTTTTTGCTGAACAATTTTTATTGGAAACGTTATTGAACCATTTTTGGTAAAAGCACATCAAGTAGCTGCACATTTTCTTCAGCTACCAGCAACATCGACGGCGTGCGAAAGAAGCTTTATCACTTATGGGGGATTGCATACGTCTAAACAAAATAAATGTTTTAACCAAAGAGCAGCCAAAATAGTTTATGTTCCCATAAACTGAAACTAAAATCCGAAACTGCAAAGAGACCTGTGCACATACTATTACTAGTACTAGTATTGTTAATACTGTAAGCACAGCTCCCATTGAAATTACTGACTTGGAAATGCCAATTACATTTTTTTCTTATAATAAATAAACTATTTTAGGTGTGTTTTAATATTCATATATGTTTATTTTAGAAGCAAGTTTTTATTTTGTGTGTGTATTTGTACCTCTACCTCTATTATAAATGAGGATTATTTTAAAAACTTGCAAAATTTTTCTGCTTCAAGTATACTATTTTCTCCAATAGATCTCTAATATGAAAAAACAATGTTTTAAACATTTTTTGTTTTTAAACAAAATGTTTTTTTTAGTTAACATCTCTACTTGAGTGACCACTCATTATATAGTAAATTATGGTTACGGAACCATTTTTGACAACATTTTTGTCCCAAAGATAATTTTGGTTTCCAGACCACTTGTTTTTTATGTCACTGGACCAATTTTTAATAAAATGTTGGTTACCAGATGCCCGATTGATCTTAAATCGAGGTCACTGAGCCTGTTTTTGACAAAATATTTAAAGGGCCTTGGGAAAATTTTGGTTTTCAGATACCCGAGTGACCGTACATCGCGGTCATTACAAAATTTTAGTTTTTGGATACTCAAGTGACAATCGTTTTATGGTAAATCGAGGTCACTGAACCCATTTTTGACAAAAATTTTGACCCAAAGGGTTGTGGATACTTAAGTGACCACTTGTGTGAGAGGAAATAAATGTTTTCGCCGCCGGGTTTAAATTGTTTATCAGCCCCATTTTATAAAACTTAAAACTGATATAATAATACGTATTGCTCCGCAAATAACAAGATCATGACAAAAATCGGTTACAAAATTACACACGAAAATCCGCCACCTATTAATGATTACTTATATATAGAAAGGTACTTAAAATATAAACATAATGTATTTTTAATATGCCTATGATGCTTGCATAAGTTGCAAGGTCTGTGCATTTTTAATTCAGAATGTGATAAATTTTGTTTGCACTTACCCTAATTTGCACCAAAAAGTCCCTCAAATGTTCCTTAAATGCAGGGATATCCTGGTCTAAATTAAACATCCCTTGTACCATAATCTTAATTTGGTTATCAGTTAGATGAGGGAACGCCGATCTAAGCAAAGTTGCCGTGAATTCTTGCACGTACAACACATTGTCAGGTGTGGAGCCCAACTGACAGTTCACTCTTCCTGCTTCCACCAATGAGAAAATGTATGCCAAAATTGACGCGTGCATAGAGAGGCCTGCAGTGTGCGAAGTGTCAGTTACCTAAAAAATGATTTATTATTTATGAAAAAACGTGACAATTTAATTTAAAAAAATTACTTACCACTGAGAAAACATGTTGCAAAATATCAGTCAAGTAGGTTTGGTAGAAACTGGGAGCCGCCTGCTCGTGTTGCTCGACGTTCTGTAACAGTTTAAGCAGTATTTGCAAACCGGTATCGGCAACGTTACGCATCGTGTGCTTGAACGCCCAGATGATGCTGTCCAAGACAAGTTTAAACTGCGCAGGCGGTATGCTGAGAAAAGCGGGAAAGCAGTAATTGTTCACTGCCTGCAACAGCAAGAAGAAATTTGTCCTGTGCTCAGGATACTCTTCAAAATCCTTATTAATCATGGCGAGCGTGCACTCGAACACGGCATCAAATATTTTAGGCACCTAAAAATATTGTTTTAAAAATTAAAGCTATACAAGGCTATGTATTAATAAAACAACGTGGCATATGGCATGTACATGTACAAACAAAATTTAAAAAAAATTACTTTTAATAATCTTATATTAGGGTTGCCATCTCCGAGTTTCGAAAACCAGGACATTTTGGTTTGAAAACAGGGGGCAGTATAAGATTAGTTAATAGTGTCAAAAAATGGTTTTATACTTGGTGTAGAGCCCTGATTGTAAAGAACATCGTGACCGTGTTTTTGTTTTAAGCTACACAAACAAGCACTGAGAGATAGCCTATATTGGTTTATTACCCCTCATCAGTGCCGGGTAGCAGTGTTTCAAGTGTGCTTACACACCACGGCTATCCGGCACTGATGCGGTCTAATAAGACCGAAACAGGCTGTCTGCCGATGCCTGTTTGTAGCACGCTTGAAGCAAAAACACCGTGACAATGTAATAGGACAGTTTTCAGTAGTTTAAAACAGAATCTATAAAAATCAACTAATGGCAATTACAATTTTTTATGTTCATTCAAATGTATTTTTAATTAAACTAAAATAAAATGTAAGGTTGGAAACAGCGAATTTTAAACCTTACCAGGACGCTGCTTAAAACTACCCAGGACACCCCAAAAAACCCGGGAAAACTGGACGGTTGGCAACCCTATATATAATAATATTTATTGCTCCAATAATTTACAATTCATAAGGTTTACAAAATATGAAGATATTAAAACAGACAATAAATATGCTATTTTACACTAGAATTAAACATTTGAGCATTTAAATATACAAATTATAAACATTAAGGTGTTTAAAAAAAAACAATTTTTTTTTTTTTCTAATGGTGTTAAAACATTAATAGTAGGTACATTAAAAAACAAAAATTTTGGCGCCTATTTAAGCCCTTAATGTTAATAAATTATTAAGGTTTGCCTCAATTCATTTGTTGTTTTTCCATTTCAACACCGGAATTTTAATTTTTTTAATTTTGAATTCTTATAACTTTGGAATGGTTTGTTTTTGCAACACCCAAGCGAGAGGAGTTACCTTAAGGTTAAGGTTAAGGTACGGTCTGTTTTGGGCGATTATAGACAATTTCACGCTCTACAAAAAACATCTGAAGGTCAAAGTTCTTCAGAACCGTTTCAAAGATATCAGCGATCAAAAATTTTTACTATTTGAACCCTATTTTTTTGGTAGCTGGCTAAAAGATTTAAGAGGGTGCCCCTTATTCCTATATTTTCCAAAACCTTTAATAATTTTTTGTGACTGACTGTAAAGGCTTTGAAAAGATCAAGGAATATGGCAATTGCTGGATTTGACTTGTTAACAGCATCATAAATATCTTTCGTTAAATTAATAATGGCGTGCTGTGTTGATTTTCGCTTTTGAAATCCAAATTGCTTATTTAATATTATATTATATTTTTTTAAATAGCCATCTATTGGATTTTTTCAAGATTGATTAAAATAATTTTGTAGTTAATGTATACACCCTTTTTATAGATTTATATATAGTAGTAGAGTAAGAACATTTTTTAGTTGAACTGTTTAATAATAAAAATTAATATCTTACCTCCGAAGTAATGTGACTTTCAAGCTTGTTGACAATGGTGGCTATAGCGCTAAGAACTTCAGGCTCTCTAGCCGATGGCACTGCCGTCCTTTGATAGTCCAAAAGAACGGCGTCCAAAAATGGCGGAATGAAGTTCTCCAATACCATTACGTGATCGTTGCTACGCGAAATCCAATCAGATATAAGTTTTAAAGTCTCCTTTTTAACGACTCTCATAGCCTTTATGAGGGGCTGTTTTGTAACTTGTTCGCCGTTCAAGGCTACCGCTGCCGTAATATTTTCCGACATAACCTATAAATAATTAGTATATTTTTTATAATGTTTGATTACCTAAAAACCTTTTACCTTGTACACATTAAGCATGTCTAAATATATCCTGCCTAGTTGTATGACATAGGCATGATTCAGTGCTTTACATGCCCTAACATTAGTTTTTAGTATACTGGCTAATTGTTTAACAATATTTATTTCTTTAAGGACATCTACATTTTTGCTGGCCTGACTTATTTTTTCATCCCAAACCTATAAAAGATTCACAATTAAACATTACTATGTTAACAGAGTCAATATACATTAGGATGATTCTTTTTTTACATCTGTTATCCGAAAATTGGTTGCTTGGCACCTTAAAAGTAGCCCATTTACGTATGAGCTCCTAATATTAATGTAAGATCCTCCTTATTGCAACTTTCAATTTTCAAATCAGTCTATCTCACTAACAAATGATTTTATTTTTTAAGCCCAATAGACATTTTGATGGGGGATTGAATATTGGAGAGAAAGTTCCCAACATCAAAATATTGACAACATCGCCTTTTTAAAATACTTAAAAATAAAAGCCCTGAAAGAGAGCCTAAAATATGTGCAGTCATAAAACTGGTACCGACTAGAACGCACGTAGCGTAAGGTCAATAACTTTAAGTTAAAAAATTATGTATATAAAACGTATATAGTATAAAATAAATCTGTAAATAGAAAAACAAAAAATTAAAAAAACAGTCCACTTAAGATCAGAAATTCAACTCAACAAGAACAAAACGGCCCCTTCTCAAGGTTGTAAACCTTGAGTGCTATACAAAAATGGTATTTTATGTTTTTTTCATAACCTATCCATTCAAAAGATATTTTAGGTCAAAGTTTAAGTTTAAAAAAAAATTGTTGGGTCAAAGTATAGTTAGGATTTTAAAATGAGTGGTACACAGGGTTGGCAGGTACAGGTTTTTTAGAACCTAGGTTTTTTAGGTTTTTTGAAAAAACCTACTCATTCAAATAACCTCATTTTAGTTTTTTTTTAGGTTTTTTATCTTCAAATGACAAAAATCGCTTTTTTGAGGTTAACATGTTTTAAAACAAAGATAATAGATTATATTATCTTTGTTTTGTAAAACATGTTTACTAGAATATTGATCAGATATCTGATAATATGATCACTAACTGATAACTGACTGATCATATGATCACTGACTGACTGAGAGAGAATTTAAAGTTCCATTTAACTTCAATATTTTATGATTATGTTTATCCACTTTTATTTTTAAATAAATATTATGTATTTATCTATGTGTATGTATTCAGTACTATTAATTAACGTTACAAATCAGCAATTTTTAATCATCCAAAATTCCATCCTAAAAAACCTAAAAACCTAAAAAAAACTTAAAAAACCATAAAAAACCTAAAACACCTTAAAACCTACAATTTATTTTTCTACTAATAATTTATCCTTTTTTTAATGACTACCGTGTACAATATTAATTTTAACTCGATTTTTGAAATATGTCTATAAATTTGTGTTTAAATAAACTGTTAACTTATTATACATTTTTTGGAAATTTGATTTCAAAATATTCATTTTCAAAAAGTATTCTGGTACCGAACCTTCTGGACGAGAGGCATTTAAAACATTTATTTGTCATAATAATAATTACAACACTTATATCCAACAGTTTTGAAAAAACCCTTTTCATATTAAAACCTAGGTATCCTAACCACTAGACCATACGGGATATACTTTATATTAGACCAAAACGTATTATAATTTCGGGCGCCATTATTTTTAAAATGCTTACTTTTATCAAAAAACAAAATAAAACTGTAGATCCGTTAATTTCTAACAAAAATGTGTACTAGGTACTCATTTTAAAATCCCTACTTTTCTGTAAGTGATAAAAAAAGTTTTTCAAAACTTTACGAAAAAAACATGGAATACATTTTAAATAGAGCATTCAATTCCCCATCAAAATGTCTATCAAGCTTAAAATATAAATTAATTTGTTAGTGAGATATACATTCCTTTTCATATACTAATCGTCACCCTAATATAACAAGGTTGTATGTTAAAAAACCGAAAAATTTGAGTTTATGCTTCTACAAGGTTTTATGTAATCCACCCTTGACAAACAACTTAAAAATAACTCTATATATATGTATACATATAATATACATTCTAAGGTATTATTTTTAAGTGGTATGTGAAGCGTAGGCCACGTATAATCCTGTAGAAACATAAACTTAAATTTTTCGTTTTTTTTAACATACAACCTTATATTAGGGTGACGTAATGTAAACTTGGAAAATTGCAATGACGAGGATTTTACTCTAAATATTAAGAGCTCATGCGTAGATAGGCTTTTATTAAGGCAGCAACTAATTTTTTAATATCAGAAGCTAAAAAAAAAGAATAGATTTTTTTAATCACCAATAAAAATAATAGGGTGTTTGTAGAGTTGGCCGTCACTTATATAAATGACCGATAAGTGACCGATATGTGACCATAAGTGACCGTCACATTCATAAGTGCCGACCAATTTTTAAAAGTGACCGATTTTAAATTTCGCGGGTTAATCGCGAAGAATTTAACTTGTATACTAACCTTAAAAAGTTGGTAAATAAATAATGTCTGAATTTGTTAATCGGGAATTTGGAATCGGGATCTGAATTTGTTAATCAGGATTATTTAATAAACTTTATTGGTAATTTTAAAAAACGGGTAAGCAATAGTTTGGAATTATTTCGATAAAACTTTAAAAAATGGTAAAAAAGTGGGCAAATGTGTGTTTTGTAAAGTTGAATATATAAGCCTTGCAACCAGAATGAATAAACATTTAAAAATCTGTAAAAAATGTTCAGATAACTGATTCATTTGAAATTAAAAAACTTGATGATAACCTGGATGCAAACACAATTTTTATTGATGGACAAACATTTTTTATAACACAAATTTTGCCATAAAATAATTAACTTTCATATTTTATTCTTTAATGTTTTATTTAAAATGTTTAATGTTTTTTAAGTTTTATTTAAGTATAGCAAATGTGATCTCAAAAAAATTATGTATAAATAAAGTAAATAGTAAATTTACAAATTATTTTAATTTTAATGCTTCCTATTTTAAAATACCTAAATTTGTAGTACAAACTATTAATGGGATATTCAAATAATGAGTAAAAAATGCATAAGAATACAGGTTTTAATACGAAAATCAATTGTTTAAATTCCAAGAGTTAAATAAATTAATTGCTGAGGCATGAATAGGAATTAAATGCATTCAAAACCCACAAGAATTGATTGCTTTTAAAATTTGCATTTGAAAAGTAGCTACAAACTATAATTTTAGTTTAAAATTTAATGAATCATATTTTTATTAATAACTTAACCAATTTAATAAAAAAATATAAGTATTTGGTATCAATGAAAAGCTCTCAACACAAGCTATTGTTTAAAGTAATGTTGTTACGTTTTTAAAAGTGACGGTCACATTCGCAATGTGACCGGTCATTTGCCAACTCTAGGTGTTTGTTACCCGGACAACAATCGGGATTTCCTGGTGAAGTCATGATGATATCAAAACGTGATTTTTTTTATCACGCTGTGATATCCTGAGTGCATACACATGCTTCATCACAGTGATATCATGTAGAACTCACAGTGTGATATTTGCAAAATTTGCGCATGCGTATGAGCTGCGAATTTAAAACCTAGTTTGTTATTCACATTACACCGTTATAATTTATAAAACTTTGTTTGAATATCACGAATTTTGTCCGGGTTCAATTAAAAATATTCCATTCCACGCGTAACGGATGGGACAGTTGCAAGTTTTTATTTACAAAATAATATTGTTCTATTATATTAATGTCAAATTTTTATAAATAGTTCTAAAAAAGGTTGTTTAACAAGGTTTTTATTTGGCAAAATTAGGTATCGTGGTTGTCCGTTTAAGTCCTTAAAAAATAATTTTTTTTATTCAAAAACAGTACTTTGAATAAAAAAATTAATTTTTAAGGAAGTCAATCACGATACCTAATTTTGCCAAATAAAAACCTTGTTAAACAGCTTTTTTTTAGAACTATTTATAAAAATTTGATATTAGTAATATAATAGAACAATGTTATTTTGTAAATAAAAACTTGCAACTGTCGCATCCGTTACGCGTGGAATGGCCGTATAAATTTTCTTTCAATGTACGAATGTGGCGCAAAATAAATATCCAAACACGGATGGCATAAACAATCACGGCATGATTTTTTATGCTATCGGTGTTTGGGCATAAAAAATCACGACATGATTTTTTATGCCATAAAAATAAGTATCCAAACATGTCGGTGCACCGATGCATCGGTGCACCGACATGTTTGGATACTTATTTTTGCGCCACATTCGTACATTGTGAGAAAATGTATGTTAACAATTGAATTAACAGTTTTTGCGGTTAAATACATTTAATATTTTCTTGGATGTAAATTAACTATTAATTTAAATACAAAAAAATATTGAATGTATTTAACCACAAAAACTGTTGATTTAATATATATGTAGGTATACTTTTTCTCTCAATGTACGAATGTGGCGCAAAAATAAATATCCAAACACCGATGGCATAAAAAATCAATTGAATCAAAAGTTTAACATTCAATATTTTCTTGAATTTAAATTAACTATATATAGTTCATTTAAATCCAAGAAAATATTAAATGTATTTAACCGCAAAAACTGTTGATACAACATAATTTTTCTCTTGGTGTACAAACTTGGCGCAAAAATGATTATCCAGACACCGTTGGCATAAAAAATCACGACATGATTTTTTGTGCCATCGGTCAATAGCTGGCCATACACAGACGTTATTGCGCGCGGTTTATCGTGTTATCTGCAAAAACATATGGAAAATCATGTACGTGAGTGAGTATCGCCGCGCAATAGCTGGCCATACACAGACAATATTTCGCGCGGTTTATCGTGGCGTGTTGGGTGTAGCGGTTAGTATGCACGAAAGAACGGCATGGCAAAAAAAGCGTCATGTTCCATACACTTGATAAAGTATTCAAATGATTTAGCAAGTGATTGCGCGTAGTATATCAGTTTCAAAGGAAAAATCGTATGTGAGTGGCCAAAAAGTGTCACGTGACGCGGAATGTGGCGTGTGGCGTGTGGACACTGCTGATGTACGCCACAATCCAAAGGAAAGCACGTCTGAAATACCTTCCCGTTCTATCATTGCGCGCGGCGATACTCACTCACGTACATGATTTTCCATATGTTTTTGCAGATAACACGATAAACCGCGCGCAATAACGTCTGTGTATGGCCAGCTAATGATAGAACGGGACGTGCTTTTCTCTGGAGTGTGGCGTACATCATTTCAGTGTCCACACGCCACATTCCGCGTCACGGTTTACCTTTGCTTGGCAAAATTTCACGTTGAAAATTTGTACATGATCACATGCAGTTTCAAACGACTCGATAAATGACACTTTTTGCCCATTCACATACGATTTTTCCTTTGAAACTGATATACCACGGGCAATCACTTGCTAAATCATTTGAATACTTTATCAAGTGTATGGAACATGACGCTTTTTTTGCCATGCCGTTCTTTCGTGCATACTAACCGCTACATCCCAACACGCCACGATAAACCGCGCGAAATAACGTCTGTGTATGGCCAGCTATTAGCTGGCCATACACAGACGTTATTGCGCGCGGTTTATCGTGTTATCTGCAAAAACATATGGAAAATCATGTACGTGAGTGAGTATCGCCGCGCGCAATGATAGAACGGGAAGGAATTTCAAACGTGCTTTCCTCTGGAGTGTGGAGTGTCCACACGCCACATTCCGCGTCACGGTTTACCTTTGCTTGGCAAAATTTCACGTTGAAAATTTGTACATGATCACATGCAGTTTCAAACGACTCGATAAATGACACTTTTTGCCCACTCACATACGATTTTTCCTTTGAAACTGATATACCACGGGCAATCACTTGCTAAATCATTTGAATACTTTATCAAGTGTATGGAACATGACGCTTTTTTGCCATGCCGTTCTTTCGTGCATACTAACCGCTACATCCCAACACGCCACGATAAACCGCGCGAAATAACGCCTGTGTATGGCCAGCTAATAACTCGTGGTATGCATTCAATTTTCTTAGTTTCTTTAAGAAACTTTCTTGACCCATCACTGGTAATATTCATAAGAATATAAGAAAAAATTGAACCTACACCTCGCCAAAGTTTTTTGTTTTGAATGCGTTCCACCAACTTCAAATACCGACAGACAGCTGTTTCGACCTTTATTGGGTCTCATCAGTGTCGGGCAACTTGGTGTAGTGGAACACAATCAAAACAAATTACTCCCTCAGCTTATATGCTCGGTTGTTAAGTCAACAACGTGGTATGATTAATTATCGATGATATTTACTCATTGAAACCGAAGCAGCACATTCTGCAGGTCAGTTTCAATTCGAAAATATCATCGATGATAATTATACCACTTGTTATATTATGGGTGAGTAGATTTTTAAGGATTTATATTAGCGATTTTTTTAAACAAAAGCATAGCACTGGATTCAGCACCCCCTAAAACGACCCTTTACTAAATTTTATTTAAAAAATTTAAGTTTTGAGGGGTGGTGAATCCAGTGCCGTGCTTAGATTTTGTTTAAAAAAATCGCTAATATGAATTCTTAAAAAATTACTCTTAAAAACTGACATAGTAGGCTTTGTATTTTGTAAAAATATGGCGTTTGTTTGCTTTAAAAACACAGTTTATCAAGATCTACACTTTAAAACAAATCCGGTTAAAATCGCACAATAAATAAAGATTTTATAGGGGTGAGTCGCAAACAAATGGGTCACACTGTATACAGATTTTTAATTCCCTGTTTTGTTAAGAATCATTTTTAAAATATTTTTAATATTGTATGTTTTTACATAATACAAAAATTATACTTATACTCTAGATGTTTGCTATTAGGTTTACGGATATCGGGGTAAAATGATTGGAATCTTAAAACATTGTTTAAAAGATTCCATGTCAATTCTTTAACATTTTTCAACAAATTACCCGAGAAAACCCAGGGCAAATCGGGATAACTTGATTTAAACATTGACAAAAATAATGCATAACTGTAACAATTTAATAAACCAACAAATTTTATTACTAATTTCAAAATGTTTAAAGTGTCTTCCATTTACATTTAAGTATTTCTTAATTCTTACTTCTACATTAGACGTTGCTCTTCTTGACTATTCTGGGTCTAGTATTAGAAATTGTTAAATATCTCTAAAATTATTAAATTCATTTATAGGGAATAATTACATCAATCGAAATGTTTTTAATTATGTAAAAACATACAGGGTGTTTTATTTAAAATAAAAAAGTTATTGATGTTTTAAGTTAGTCTAATTTACCCTGGGTTTTCTTGTGTAATTTGTTAAAAAATTAATTGACATAGAATCTTTTAAACAATGTTTTAAGATTCCAAAAATTTCAGCCCCATTTCCGCAAACCTAATAGCAAAAAAGTTATAGGCTATTTTGACGCGCATTTGTTAAATTTTAACGAAAAAAATTAATAATTCCAAAACTATTTACTTTAGGTATAGGACATGTAATTTTACTCAAAATTTTAAAATATATGGGGTGTTTTATTTAAAATAACAAAGTTGATGTCACTTTGACATTTTGTTTAATATATTTTAGAAAAATGGGCTTAATTGGACTATAAACGCTTTAAAAATTTCAATGGACCACGACAAAACCCTGTATATAATTAAAATAATTTTAAAGTTTACCTAATGGTTGTACATTTATTCAGTGAATAAATTGTTCATAAAAATATAGTCTAGCTGTTATCGAAGTTGTTATATTATGTGCCGAATACCGTGGATAACATTTTATTGGATCGCACTTAAAAAAGAAAATGACATCTGAAAAAACGCCGAGACACGGGTATCATTTTTTAAGTCTATTTTCAAAATGTATAGGAATTTTTGATGGGAGGGAAAATAAATCAAATTTTGTCGTACTGTGTTACATTAAAAACATTCTAATTCTATAAGCGTTATAGAATTATAGTATAACGTTAAACTGTCCTCTAAAAGTTTTGGGCCAAAACGATTGAAAATTTAAACGTAAATTTTTATATTTATATGCTTTTATTAAACTTATCGATTTAAAAAAATATTCTGCTGCATAAGATTGATGTTACCATTTTTTATTATACCTATGCACAAAAAATACAAAAAAGTTTAAAGATTTTGTTTGTACTTTAAGTTGTTAAATAAAACCTATATAATATTTTATTTGAAAATTTCGTAATTTAAATCTTTTTTTAATTTATTTCTATTTCTAATAAAATAAAACTTTGTAATAAATATAAGTTTTATGTAACTTATCAAATTCTAATATAAATTATAAATATCTTATGCAGAAGAATACGAAATCTGTATTTTTTTTTTAAATCCACAATAATTTGAAAATAAATTCTGTACATCCACCAACAAAAGTTTTGTAAATAAGTTGTCATTTATCAATTTATTATTATTCTTTATAGACAATGGAAGGTCACTTTTTCTGATTTTTGGGTTGGAAATTAAAAAAAAAAGTTGTATAACACAACAATTGCAAGAAACGGATGCATAACTACATCAACACTATTAAATGCTGGAAATTTGATTACGCATTTTTACAAATATCTCTTTAAAAATTTTAAAACTTTTATCCAATTTGGTCAAAATATTTTAAATTTAGAAAATCTAAACATAGTACATTATAATCTATTGACAGGATGACCACCCAAGGTAAATGAGGGTTAAGTTAACCCTAGTTTTTTACATTAAAAATTGCATACTGACAAGCAAGCAACTAATTATTATGCGCATTAGAATTCTTCATATTGCGCAATAAAACGAATCTACCAAATTTACTTAATCTAATGCTCTTTTTATTCATTTAGTGTGCAAGTATTTGTTCTAATGCTTATTTAATTTAAATAATAGTAATTTACTTTAAAAATTTAATTTAAAATTTTCATAAGTCTATATAGAAAGTTCAAAAGTCAAATTATTATACACTGCTGTACAATCATGAAAATTACATGGGAATAGTGGTTTCATTTATAGCGTTTAGCTTGCAATCAGCAAAGAAAATGTAAACTTACAGGTCACTGTAGAATAAATTCATGTATATGTTATGGCTAATGTGCAAACTTGGATAGTTTATAAACTAGCTGGATAGTTTATAAACTAGCCAAACTGTCAGCTATTTTAATTGAAAACATATTTTTAAGTAAATTAGCGGCTAGTTTACAAAATAACCAAGGATCTTGGCTAATTTACTTGAAATTATTAGGGAAACTAAAATAGCTGGATAGTTTGTATACTATCCAATTCAGTTTGGCTAATATGAAAACCAAAATTTCTAGTAACACAAAATAGCCAAGCTTTAGCTAGTTTGTAAACTAACCAACCAATTCTCTGGCTAATTTATTAAAAAAGTGAGGTTACGGCATTGTTTTTCGTTTTGCCGGCTTAACCGGATTTGTTTTGTGCATTTTAACGTTTTTAAAATGAATCATAGGCAAAATTTTAACGCTTCCTTGTTAGAAAACTCAACAACACAACCCTACCGACCCCGCCCCATTGATAGCCAGAGAATTAGTTGGATAGTTTACAAACTAGCTAAAGCTTGGCTATTTTCTGTTACTAGAAATTTTGGTTTTCATATTAGCCAAATTGAATTGGATAGTATACAAACTATCCAGCTATTTTAGTTTCCCTAATAATTTCAAGTAAATTAGCCAAGATCCTTTGTTATTTTGTAAACTAGCCGCTAATTTAGTTGAAAATACATTTTCAATTAAAATAGCTTACAGTTTGGCTAGTTTATAAACTATCCAGCTAGTTTATAAACTATCCAAGTTTGCACATTAGCCGTAACATATATAACATAATATAGGTATTTAATATAACATAATATGTTAAACGTCAAACCTGATAAAACTTCGCAAACTCGATAATTTCAATGTAAGTACAGAATTATTAAATACTTGAAAAAAAAAATGTATACAAAACATGGCAGGGCTTTCTCTGCCTGTTAGATAGTGTACTATTATTACCTGATTGGGTAGCATCATGTATTTTTCTATAAGTGCCTCTTGTGTGGCACTGTCCATTTGCGCTGAAATCATGTAACCAACTGCCTCATAAAAAGTGTGGACTTGTTGCTGTTGCAAATCGCAAATAATTGTTGAAATTGAAGCCAAAATATCTTCAATAAAAGGACAGGACTCTCCAATTTGAGTTGTTATAAAATGCCTTCTACATTTCAATGCAATTTTAATAAATGTGTCACAGGCCATATCTTGTACACCATCATGTGTTTCATGCATAAATTCAAAAAGTTTATTAACAACAGTTTTTAAAAATTTCCAATGAGCTCTTAAAAACCTTGGATACTGACCAACTACATACATAATATTAGAGGCAATTATAGCTTTGTTATCCTTGCCTCTTTTTTGTTCACACAATCCTAAAAGGTCCTTGATAACAGTAACTAAAAACCGTTTCTCATCTTCTTCATGCATTGCACCTGATATACTACCAATTGCCCAGCACAAAGTGTTTAAATTTTTCCAGGACCACTCAGTTCCATTAACCTGGTTTTGCAACTTGTTGGTCATGATACGTTCAGTATCTGCATAGTCCAAGTGAGTCAGGTAAACTAAAGTCTCCCTCATATTTTTGTACAAATTTATGGAGTCTGTATCCTTCATAAACTCTCTCACAACTTCTCCATTGTCATTTTCCACCACAAGCACTTCTTCAGGTTTTGCCATTCTAGATATCATTATGTATCTTACTTTATTCAGCACCTCTTGATATAAGGCTCTTCGACTGCCTGTGAAAAATAAGGGCTGTGCACCAGAGTAAGGTACTTCTCTGTACAATTCTGATGCCAAAGCATTCCAATATTCCAAACAAATCTTAAAAATTTCTACCTCCTCTACCTCTGATATAAGAACTAAATAACGTAAAGCATTTCTTAACATTTCAATTTGTACAGAATTTTCAGCCAAATTACCATGTTCTTTTAAGAATGTGCACAAAAACAATGCTAGGTTCTGTATAAAATTCTGCTCCTGGTCTTGTCCACATGCATATGCAGTTTTAATGTCAGTTTGTAATGGTAACATGGTTTCCAATTGTGACATGGTCTGGGTGAATAATTGTACAAACATTTCATCGTAATTACTAACCGTGACACCAGCAATTTCTGTTAAACACTTTAAAGTAACATTCCTAAACATTGGTACAGGTAAAAATTTAAAGATTAGAGTGTTAATCAATTTAGTTTCAAAAATGTACCCAAGTGGAATCCAGTTAAGAAATCTTAGTAAAGTTTCTAAAGTTGCATTTACCAATGGAGGATTCTGAGAATTTTCTAAAACAAACTGACATAAGTGAAAAATGGCAGAGAACTCATTACACATGGTATCCTTCAAGTGTTTTGCTTTGGTCTGAGTTATTTGGCCAGATGAAAAATCAAATAGTTCCTCACTTAGTAATTTAAGAATGATCATGTTGTTTTGGCATAAGCTTTCATTTGTTTTACTGGCTCCAACAATGTCAGGTATAAAACTTTCCCAATTTTTAGGCCATTCTCTTTTTAATACTTGAACCAAAATCATATTTAACTTGTTTAAATATGTTTTATTTTCTTCCAAAGTCTCAGAGTTTGAACTGGTTTTAATAATTAACGATACAATATACTTTTTAATGCCCTCACATTGATTCCGAGGAAGTACCTTCCATCTGGTCTTTATTACTTGTTCTAAAATTTGCAGGGCATAGTATTTTGTCTGTTGATTTGTAGAAAATTCCAAAATGGTGTCAACCCGGGTCCAAGCATCTGGATGTTCCTTTAGTGTTGTTAAAACTTCCTGTGCTATCCGTTGAGTCTCTCCATTACCTGCATACATACTAACAACCACACTATCCAGAAGATTTATGTCCAACTTAAGATTAAAATCTAACAGAGCGGCAGCTGCTTGATGTCCTAGTGCTGCCATTTTTATAGGTATTTATAATTCACTCTCTCTTAGAAACATTCAATCATTCCATTAAATTCAATGCTAAAACAGAAAAGCCAATTTTATTGATAATAACAATGCAAAGCATTTAAAAATATTTATTATATTTTATCTAGTTTTGATACTGAAAAACGTAATATTGATTGATTATATAGTCCCCTATATTGTGTTTACAGATGGAGTTTAGAATAAAAAAACTTTATTTGTGGTTATAGGAGTAGCAATGTTTTTAATTAGTTGTCTTCAGGAATAAGTATTCACCTAAAGTCTTCAGGCTGAAGAGAACTGGAGATTCAGTCGAAATGTCTTGATTAAAAATATTAAGTTAATCTGAAAATATGTTTAAGACCTTGATTTATTAGGAGCCTAATAAGTATATATATATATATTTATATATTGTTAAAATAATAAAAAAAACTTTTAATTGTTTTAAGACAAGCAGGCATTTTTATAGAAAATAATGTTTTTTATTCAACGACTTATAATGTCCATATAATGGGTGGCAGAGAAAATATTCTCTGCAACTAATATTGAAGTGAAATACTTTTAAACTTTGGATTAAATAGAAGAATACAATATAAATTATATAAAAATATCAAGTTATTAATGTTAAAACTTGGAATATTTTAGCCTTAAAACAAATTTTTTAATGGAAAGCGAGCCAAAAAACCCAAATACCTAGATATTTCAAATGACTTAAAGTGACTGTTATTTGCTAGTTATGTGTAAAATATTTACTATTATATACATTTATGTTGTGAATTACCTTAATACAGCCAAAATAGCCCAAAAAAGGCTCTACCATAACAAAGAAATAAACTAACCCCAAATTCGCATATACTAGGAAACCGCATGCACAAGATTATCTGCAATGATATATATTATAAGGTTTAAGCGTATAATAATAAATTTGTTAATACTTTTGCACACCCTCGAAAGAGTTTTCAACAAATTTAACCCCAAAATACCAAAATTTACCACTTCATTTTGACAAATTCATAAGAGTACGTGATTTGAAGTCGTGACATCTTGCAATAATGGTGTATTATTGAATATTTTGTTAAGTACTTACTGTATATCCAAAATTTGGCGGATAAAACACAAAATTCAACTCCACACTCACAAATCTCACCACAAAAAGCGCAAAACCGAAAACGACAACTGCGTCGGTATCAAGAAAATCTGTACAGTAAAAAATTATAGACGTTTAATAAAAATCCGATAGGTTGCACCACAGAACGTTTGTATGATACAAATTGTATCACATACTTCCACAAATACCGCTTATTTTGCATTATGCGCATAGTCAGTTTATACCATAGACATCACATAACATAAGATAGAGAAATTAATAATCGAATAATCTAAAAATCATCATTTTGTGAGCTTATTAATGTTAAATGCTTTTTTTCACACAATTTGTATACAATTTATTAAAAAGTATTTATTATACTTCTTAAAAAGGGACAAAAATCTGTTTTTTTAACCGGCAATGCAGCTGACACATGCGCATTAAGCCTGAATTATAGATTGCCTTCCTTCCTTCCTTCCTTCCTCCCGTAGAAGATGAACATTACGTAATTGTCACCATTAACATTTCCCGTTTAAGAATTTTCAATACTTTGTGATAATATTTTGCAATTATAGTCATAAAAAAAATCAAAGAATAAAATATTTTCTTAACAAAATCATATTTTGAAGTTATTTTAATATTTTAAATCATCAATAATTGTTAAGTTTAATTAAAATTAATAACGGGCAATGTTAATGGTGACAATTACGTCAAAAATGTTTATTTAAATCGTAGTGCCAGTTATAGATTCCCGTACCGTAAGGACGGCATTCCTTCCTCCCGTAGAAATTTTTATATTTCACCGTAAAGTTCTTTGACATGACCAATCACAGTGCTTGTTATGGACATGCGCTGTAGGGTGACAGCGCGTACTACTACGCGCCGCGTAGGCACAAAATATTTAAAATACATGATTGTTTAGTATTATTTAAGATAGGTGTTTAGTTTATTAAATAATTTGTGTCTCTAAATAGGATATTTAGATATTGTTTATGATCAATGTCTTTAATTTTTAGAAACGTTGCTTTGTAAAACCCCGTAGTTTCCCGGTCTTGGTAAAGTGGGCGAGTCTTCCAACGTCTTGTTCGATGTTTTTTTTTCATTATACTGCCCTACTTTGGAGAAAGGCAGTAACTACAAATGCGTTTTCTTGTGCTATGATAAAGCTATGGACATTTTGTATCTTAATTCAACAAAGAAATGCAGTAAACTATCTTTTAAGTTAAATAAATCAGTTAAATACCTACTGCTTTTATAAAAATGTAGTTTATGCGAATTTCCCACAAATTTCTTGTTTAGCAGTTACCCTAAAGTAAATCGGATTCAGAATTTCGCTCGGGCTTAAATGGTTGACATTTGTTTTTGTTTATATTCTGCGTTTTACCCATTGTGTGTAAATATGAAAGATAAACATTTACATATTAGTGCAGTGATCACAATTTTAATTGCCCAGGCAGCTTGTTGTATACTGTATGGATTTCCGTGTAAAATTCCGTAACCATGCGCGATGACACCTAGGTCCACAATCCACACATTGTGGATTGTGCCTAGGTCTATAAATTGACTTTTTACAAGACGCACAAATCGTACCATAGATTACCGAAGGCACGACTACGGGAGGAAAGAAGGAAGGCAATCTATAAATCAGGCTTAAGTGCTAAGGACAACCATTGCCTTCAGCAGAAACACAACGTTTAAAACGATTATTAATCTGTATAAACAGAGCACAAACCCAAAGCAGGTTATAAAGGTTTTTAATCTACTAGTATGACCCAAAGCACAAAAATTGTAAACAAAAATGGCCGCCGTTAAACTGTGCAGTGTTACAGTGATTTTTTGTATTTTTAGTACGAGATAGAACAGACCTTGTTGTGTGGATTGTGCCGCACACAATGCACGGCGTTGAACTAGGGATGCGCATCGAATATTCGATGTTCGTCAAACATCGATTTTAATGAAGTGAACATCGATTTTTTAACATCGATCTTGCATTTTCGATGTTTTAATGACATCGATGTTAGACTTTGCGATGTTACTGTTGTCTAAATTACTGTTTCTACAGAACTTGGATAGGCAAAATTGGGATTTAACTTAACTTTTTTTGACTGATAATTTAGGTTTATTTTATTTTTAAATTAAAAAAAAAGAGAATTTAACTTTATTTTGTTTATTTCTTTATGTGTATTTTTTTATAAGTTGGAAATAAATATATTTTATACATGTTTTTCTTAGACTTGTGTTTTAGTTTGAAACATCGATTTTTTGGAAAAATCGATGTTTTCTTCCCGATATATCGATGACATCGATATTCAACCTTCGATGTCAACATCGATGCCAACATCGATGTTTTTGTATTCGATGCGCATCCCTACGTTGAACGCCGTGTGACGCTGCCAGTTGGCCAACTTTTTACTTTAAGCTGGATTTATTTAGAGCGGCTAGAAGTTTGAAGAAATACAGCTGCGTTGCCAAGTTGTGCACCCACTATTAGACCAATTACAAAACGCGGTAGTTTTAAATTGCAATCATATTTCAAATATTTACCAGTGTTGGATTTTATAAATTGGCATGAATTAATGTATTTTGTGTCATAGAATAATACAAAGGAAAATAAAAAATGACAAGTATGTATGAGGGCGATTCCATTATTAGTAACGGCATAAGCAAAAAGAAAATACTTTTTATTTTACGTTTTCTTTGAAACTAACATAGATTTTTCCAGACTTCTTTGTGCAAATTATTAATTAATTTTATTGCTTGCTGAAGATCATAAAATTATTATTATAGAAAAAACACATCTACAAAAATCGTCATTTTTTTTAGCCCTGTTAGTTATATTTCTATGGAAACATGTTTTGTCCTTATTAAAAAAGGCAAATGGAGAGTTTTGCATCTAGACGACTCATATGTAGATACCTACCCATATAATCTTTTTTTTTGCAATAACTTTGGAAGACAAATAATACCCACATAATTCTATTTATATATTTATTTCCAAAAAAACAATATAATAACAAGATAGAAGGATGAGCACTTTCAAAAGCGGTCATAAATGCTTTTAAATGCTCGAGCATTTGTGAGCACTTTGCAAAGGGCTCAAGCATATACCATCTATAATAACAAGTATAATATAATATAACAATAATATAGCATCATAATGTTTCAGGTACATTTAAGCAGAAATCAGACAAAACCAGACAAATAAGTCAAAAGCAAACGAATTCTTTTATTTTTTTATTTGTTTCTGCAAATCACTACAATGGATTTGTCTGGTTTTGTCTGATCGCTCCTCATTTAGAATCTCAAATCAGCCAAATGCTGATAATGAGATTATTTAGCAGGTACATGGTTGTAGTCTTAATTTAAATACTTTTTATCACATTTGTTAAATTACATAATACATATTGTAGTGGTGCTTCAGTTTCTTTTAAAGCTGTCAAAGTTACTTGCATTTTTAACATTTTCCAGTAAAGACGTAAGATAGTATGCTTGTATTGATAGTGCTGCATTTTCCATGGTTAAAGGTTGTTGTTAATGAATGTGTTCTGATACGTGTTTAACAACTTGTGCCTTACTATGCGGCCATTCCACGCGTAACGGATGGGAAAATTTTCAAGTTTTTATTTACAACATAATATTGTTCTATTATATTACCAATGTCAAATTTTTATAAATAGTTCTAAACAAAAGCTGTTTAACAAGGTTTTTATTTGGCAAAATTAGGTATTGTGGTTGACTGTTTAATTCCTTAATAATTAATAATTTAAAGCGTCAACCATGATACCTAATTTTGCCAAATAAAAACCTTGTTAAACAGCTTTTGTTTAGAACTATTTATAAAAATTTGACATTGGTAATATAATAGAACAATATTATGTTGTAAATAAAAACTTGAAAATTTTCCCATCCGTTACGCCTGGAATGGCTGTATGCTTTCCATTAACTAAGGTGTACTGTTTAGGTAAGTTTCTCTTTTAATCTGCTATGGTTGAATTTTGTTTATTGTAAAAAAAATAGCTAGCATGTATAATCATGATCACTTTGGGTATTTAATTGAGATGTTATTAAAGAGATTTCCGATTGTGTGGGTCTTTTAATGGTGTTTTTGCTTCCTTTTACTTTGTTCATAGTTGAAAAAAAAGTATTTTGTTTTTTTATTTTTTTATTTGCGGGTTCTAAAAATATATGTATATATAAATAAAACACATTATACATAATATGATAAATAGTTTTACTTACCCTGGCAATTTTTATTGTCTGTTATAATTCTTTTTTTAGAATCACCTTTTTGTATGCTTGTTAAAGCAATACAATTTTGCAAAAATTTCAAAATTTGGGGGCCAGTTTCGTTATTTTCATACACTGAATCAGGAATTTCTAACAGTTGTGTGCATGCTTTTTTTATTTCATGTGATACATTTTTCTTGTTTTCTGTCAGCCCATAGTTTGACAATGTTTTAAGATTTAAAACAGTTTCTTCCACACATGGGTTTATTCTGAATTCTGATTCATCTTCCATCTCTTTATTATCAACTTCAATATTCTGTACATTTAGTTTAATGAAATGAATGTGCTTACATATGGTTCCTCTTATGTAAAAGTCCGCACATGTGCATTCAAAATCGTGAATGCATATTTTGCAAAATGAGCAAGTTAACTTGCAGTTTTCATCTGAAGTTTTTTCATTTCTTGAAACCTGATATTTTCCATTTTCTGTTTGTACAATCCAAGTATGATTATTTTCATTAGTAATTTCCATCTTACTAGTTAATGCAACCCGGTGCCTTTTGTGAATGTCTTGAATATGACAATTATTCACTCCTTTTGTAATCTTTATCAAGCGGTTCACAATTTTGTCTCGAGTATATTTGAGAACGGCTGTTATGCCCTTATCCAGTCGTTTCACAGTTTTCCCATCCAAATAAAAGTACTTAATCGTTTTATGCATGCTCTCAAGTACCTAAAATCAAAATATTTATTAACAAATGTATTATATAGGGGAAACACATCAGTAATTAATATTAAATACTGTTTCCCTCCCAAAAAGTGAATTTAATAACAATAATACACATGC